TTTGAGTCATAATATTGTATATGTGTGTGTTAACTATTTGATTGTTACTGTAACTTTAAGTCATAATATTGTATATGTGTGTGTGTTAGACTATATATGTATCAAACAAGGAGACAGATTGTATTTTACAACCACATACATGTTTTAGAGTAGAAGAAATAAGGCTTAGAAGTGGTAAATATATTAATATTTATTTTGGAATGACAACCAAGTAGTAACTGGAGAGTTGAAAAACATTAATGTATATACGTACAAAGCGTGTCTAGATGAAGAGCCATGTAATTGTGTTGGATCTTGTTTCCTATCAAACTGGAACTTGTTTTAGCATATATATATAACACATAAACATACATATACATACTTTTATATAGAGGTTAAGTATGTTATATTACAATGATTTAGGAACATCATCGTGTTACCACTTCCAATCATACTTTATCTTATGGTCATGTGACAAAATCACACCATTCCTCCCAGAAAAAGAATTGATTAGCTTTTTTGATGCACAGACATTGTTTTTTTTAAATATTTAAAACTTAAAGCCTTGGAAGAGAGAGAGCCATGAATAGAAAGATCACATGCTATAGATGTGAGTTTTCTATCACTTTATGTCATCCAAAAACGTCTCTTCTTTTTAATGCATAGTATTTTTATTCCCTTATGCAAAGTTTTCTGATATTTTATTGTCAATTTCTAGTGAAAATAATCGTAACAAATAGTGGTAATAAAAGAGTAATTTAACCTAGGTTGATAAACTTTTAAACCTCATTCTGTCATTTGCTCAAGTGTGATTTCAATGATGTAACATGAAGAGTAACAGTCATATTCTCATTATCCTAATGGGTTACAGAAAAATAAGATACTTTACTACATTAATCTATTTATGTTAGAATCAAAAATTACCCCTCCCTAAAATAATATCTAAAACTGCTTTATTTCCCATTTAGATGTTTAATTTTATCAGGTCTCTACCTGAGGTATATTGGAGATGGACTTGTTAAGCTTGATTCTTCAATTATGGTTACATTCTTGACCAGCTTTGTGGAGCTTGTTCTTATTGCTTCTATATTTGTTATGGTTTGTTAGGTTAACTTCATGGAACTTGTTCTTATTGCTTCTACATTTGTTATGGTTTGTTGGGTTCCACCAGCTTTGTGGAACTTGTTGTTATTGCTTCTACATTTGGTATGGTTTGTTGGGTTCCACCAGCTCTGTGGAACTTGTTCTTATTGCTTCTATATTTGGTGTGGTTTGTTAGGTTAGCTTTAATATCTAAGCAAATACACAGTCACAATATTTACTTTTTACTGAGCATAATTTAATATCATACCTGAAAGATGATATGATTGCTCAGGAAATGTATAATGGGAGATTTAACTCGGATGGCCAGGAAACCATCAAATTCACCTATGCAAAATAACATGATGGATGAAATGTATTGTTTGTATAATAACTTGATGCTCTGTCTAATAAAATCAACTTGACAAATTATTCAAGAAATATATGTCAAAGAAGCTGATACTAAAGCAGCATAACGTCAACCTGTACACATAGGTGTTAAGAATTACATATATTGGCATTTTATAATTGACTTATGGCATAGGAGAAACTGGATAAGCACTTCAGTCAGAAAGTTTTGTGGACAGATGAACCAAGGTTTTACACCAATGGCAAAATGAACCTCTCTAATTCCTAAGAATGCTCACCAGAAAACAAATATTGGGTTGCTGGAACAAGGGAGCAGTTAGAGATGGTTTATTGTTGCCTGGTTGGTTGTCTGATATTTTTCATCAATGGGACAAGGGAGCAATTAGAGATGGTTTATTGTTGCCTGGTTGGTTGTCTGATATTTTTCATCAATGGGACAAGGGAGCAGTTAGAGATGGTTTATTGTTGCCTGGTTGGTTGTCTGATATTTTTCATCAATGGGACAAGGGAGCAGTTAGAGATGGTTTATTGTTGCCTGGTTGGTTGTCTGATATTTTTCATCAATGGGACAAGGGAGCAATTAGAGATGGTTTATTGTTGCCTGGTTGGTTGTCTGTTATTTTTCATCAATGGGACACATGGATTTACAAAACCAAAGGCATGATTTCAACAGTGGGTGTCAGACAATACTCAGATTTCACTTCCCCACTGGTGGATAGGTCACTGGCATGGCCTGCACTATTGTGAAGATATATCAATAATCTAAACAGGTTGTCACAACTGTAATACAGCAAATGCGACAAAACAGAATAGATGATGTTTCTGGTCTCAGCACACATACAAAAGCATTTTAAGTTCTTACACTTCAGATAGATTTAGTCCAGTATGATTTAAAACTTCTAAAACAAGCAACTTTTGTAGACATCCAGTATGTAAGTTATATTGTGTGATTTGTAGACATCCAGTATGTATGTTAGTTATATTGTGTGATTTGTTTGCATTTGAGTCAAGATTGTTACTTTTATGTTATATACAGTAATTATTTATTGGATATTATTTCTAAGTTTTTATTCCTGTCATATATTTTAAAAAATGTACAAGCACTACAGCTCTGAAATTTTGACATTATTTCTGTAGATTAGTTCTGTTGCAGATTAGAAATGCATATTGTAGACATGACAACTGTGTGTATGACCACACATGTATAAGAGTGGATTTTATTTTGTGGTATGTCCTTATGATATATCTGTAGTTATAGGTTTTTTTTTCTTCCGTGTGTCACAGTAGTGTCAGATTAATTACTTCATTGAGAATTTTCACATAAAAAAATTCAGATAGTTTTTGTTTTAATTTAATTGTGCTTGAAAACTCTTTCCATTAAAGAGTGGAGACCCATTATTTGTTTCTTTGTGGAATAGATTTACTGATGTTAATGCTATGTAACAGGTTAGTGCTTCCATTTCTTTTCCTACTGATTAAGGTTTTCATACATTATTACAGATCTTAATTTTATTGCAGATATATATAGTTATAACAAGATTTTGATCACCACTAGGTATTCAACTATATTACTCGGTCTTATTGCCCTTTGGTATGTTCCTGTTTCTTTTGCTGAAACTGTTAAGAGCTCGGCTCCAGTGTTCACTGTGATTGTAGCATGGATATTCATGGGAGAAAAAACCAACTTGCTAGTCATATTCTCCCTGTTTCCTGTGATGGGTGGCCTCGTACTGTGCAGTGCCAATGAACTTAGTTTCAAATTAGCTGGGTTCTTAGCATCTTTAGCAACAAATCTTTCAGAATGGTAAGCTGGTTTCTTAACTTATTCATTTGTGCAAGATATTTTATGAATACATTGATTGATATTGGAAATTTTCACCTTGAATGTGTAAGCAAAACATATACATGTAGTTTTCAAGCTGATATAACTTAAAATAATAATATTGGATACATGAACATCCATATTGAAATAATAGGTATTCTTTATCTGGACGTGTAAGTAATATACTTGTAAAAATAACTGTATTTTTTTCTATGCTCTTGGTAATGTGAACTCTACTCCCCAGTAGTGTTTAAAAACTAACCTCATTGGGGTTTTCTCTCTTGTCTCACAAGTTGTCTAATGTAATGTGGTTATTGCCTGTAAATTTGTTTTTGTTTTTCAGTGCTTAACTTGCACAACAGTTAACACCAAACTGCTACACATTTCACATTTTGTTTCAGTTCATGAAAGATACACAGCCAATATTTTTATCATATGTCAACATCATCAACAATTTGTTTAAATGTTTATTTTCTACTGTAAGTAAGTGTTAAATCAAGTGATAGCCATTCTGATTCTTCCAAAATATTGGGGAAAAAATACAGTAGTCACATTTTCTTTTAGTTTTTCCTCAACGTTTTTTTTTAATGTATCTTCTTTGATCAAGCATTTAGAAGTTTTGGTTAAAATCTAAATATTTTTAAACAGGCAAACAATTCACTGCACTTGTCACTCTTAGTAACCAAGAAAATGAGTATATAATTACATTTTTCCAAAAAAAACCTCAACAATGCTAATTTTTTAGAGCATCTTCTTTGTAAATCCTAAATTACAATACTAGAGGTTTCAATCAATATCTAGTACATTTACTTATCTTATTAATGCATCAACAAACCCTTTCATACACAAGTCTGTAACTTATATATATATATATGTATAAACAGTTCTGGTAATGGTGAAATAGTAATTTTTCCTAAATGTATACTGTTTATTTTAATGTTGGCCTACTAAGCTAAAAATATTCTAAAAAGTCTGGTAAAAGAAGCTTTACAAAATCATTCAGTGATACATGATATAAATAATACTAAGCATAGATTTTCCAAAAGGAAAAATTTTACCTTATTAATATTTTAGCTTTTTCCAAGGACATTACTTATTATCTGGAGGAAGGATAGTGTGGACTTAGTATACTTGGATTTTAAAATTCTTTTAATAAAGTACCACATAGAAGATTAGGGAAGAAAATCATAATGGTATGGGTTAAGAAAAAACTAGTTAATTGACTTGTAGGGTGCTTGGGTGGGAGAAATCCAATGATTCTTGTTTATGAAGTTCAGTCAAACTGAACATTTGTTACTAATGAATTGCCTCGAGGGTGTCTTTATAGACATATCGACTACAAAGCAAGATCTGTATAAAAAACTTGTTTGGCCTCACTTGGAAAACTGTACAGATTTGGTATCCTTAACTAAGAAAGTATATTGATGTCTTGGAAAGGATTCAGAGGAAGGCTTCAAGTATGATTCTGGAGATGGAAGAGTTACCTTACGGGTATAGGTTAAGATCTCTAAAGTGTCTTATAACATGTATATTTAAGGTATACTTATGGGAACTTGCTGCATGGTCACGTAAGAGTAAAATATCATAACCATATTGCGTTGTTGAATCACAATTTTACCCTGAAAGGAATTATATTTTGTCAATTTTTGTTCATGCATATCGTAACTGAATACCTTGTGCATGTCTGTGTTGAGTGAATCTTGACAAGATAATTTTCATTTGCCAAATGTGTAATCATTCAAAGAAATACACAAAAGTTTTTGTTATGATAGTTTTTTCATGTATTCATCAATTTTTTTAATTTAAAAATGTTATTATCAATTGTATAAACATTTTAAAAGTTTTTTATTTTCTTTTAGCATGCAAAATGTGTATTCCAAAATTCTTCTGAGTAATGAGAAACACAATAATTCGTAAGTATACACTAACTTTAATGATTAATTTGTAAGTATCCTCTAACGTTAGTAATTAATTTGTAAGTATCCTCTAACTTTAGTTATTAATTTGTAAGTATCCTCTAACGTTAGTTATTAATTTGTAAGTATCCTCTAACTTTAGTAATTAATTTGTAAGTATCCTCTAACTTTAGTAATTAATTTGTAAGTATCCTCTAACTTTAGTAATTAATTTGTAAGTATCCTCTAACTTTAGTAATTAATTTGTAAGTATCTTCTAACGTTAGTAATTAATTTGTAAGTATACTCAAACTTTAGTAATTAATTTGTAAGTATCCTCTAACGTTAGTAATTAATTTGTAAGTATTCTCTAACTTTAGTAATTAATTTGTAAGTATCATCTAACGTTAGTTATTAATTTGTAAGTATCCTCTAACTTTAGTAATTAATTTGTAAGTATCCTCTAACTTTAGTAATTAATTTGTAAGTATTCTCTAACTTTAGTTATTAATTTGTAAGTATCCTCTAACTTTAGTAATTAATTTGTAAGTATACTCTAACTTTAGTAATTAATTTGTAAGTATTCTCTAACTTTAGTAATTAATTTGTATCTTCTAATTCCAAAACACACATAACTTCGCTGACACTAATAGCCATTTCTCGATCTTCATCTTTGCCATCGAACGTTGTGTTTGCTTGCTCCAGTCTTTATATACCCCACTTGACTGCCTTCGGCAATATCTAATTTGCAAAACTTTACGCCGGCCCTCACACACCCTCTATGCAGGTACTGTATATAAGCACTGTATGCAGACAATAAAATCACTTTTTCTCAACAAAGCATGAGCATTCAGACTAATTTTTTGTGATTTACATTTTCTTAGTTTTTGCTTTCTAATAATCAGGAATTCTTTGTTTTGTTATCCAGAGATATATTTCGTTGAATTTGTTTTTTGTTTTTTCCTACAAATATTTTACACACAAAAAAAATAAATAATTGGATATGGATTCCCATGTAACGGTTTCAAGCTCGGAGGCTACTCAGCCTTCGTCTATTCCCCCTTTGTTATCTAGTGGTGGTCAGCAGTCTGGGGGGGGGCACTCTCCGTGGAAGCGTGTGTGATCTAATTTGTGGTGAGATCAAGTCTTTCATGCAACCTGGGGGTATCTCTCCAGGAGGTGCTGATTTCAATTTTCATTCTGAAACAGGATATTCTGGGGAGAATTTAGACTCCCTGTTTCCTGCTCCGTCTTTCACTAGAGTTTCCTCTCCTGAGTACTCATCTGATCAGCCACCTTCTGCCCTTCTTCAGCAGTTAGTTACACATGTTTGTGAATTGTTGGAGAAGCAACCAGTTGCTTTTGAGTCTACCCCATGCTTTGTTGTCCGATCGTTCTCAAGGGGGATTACTTAGTTTTCCTTTTCCTTCTGATATTGCTGTGCATGCAGGGAGGTTTGCAACACAATTATGTGAGGGTGTTGCTGTGCCTTACCCCCCTCGTTTATCTGAACAACATGTATGTATGTTTTGGAAGTTATCATTTTCCTAAACAGAAAATGTATTTCCAAGCATACCTACCTCTGCTGACACTCTCCCTCCCTTCCTTCCAACTAAGAGCCAGTATTGGTGACTGTAATGTGGTAAGTTTTGAAAAAGTGATTTTATTTTCTGCATAGAGGGCCATGTGAGGTGCCGGCGTAAAGTTTTGAAAATTAGATATTGCCGAGGGCAGTCGAGTGGGGTATATAAAGACTGGAGCAAGCAAACACAACATTAGATAGCAAAGATGAAGATTAAGAAATAGCTATTAGTGGAGGTATGTATGTTTGGAAATACGTTTAGTAATTAATTTGTAAGTATCCTCTAAAATTAATAATTAATTAGTAAGTGTCCTAGAAAATTAGTAATTAATTTGTAAGTATCTTTTAACTTTAGTAATTACTAAGAGTAATGTTATCTCAATTGAGCATTTGAACTATCAGTAATTGTAAAATCTGCATTTTCCAGTTGGCATTAAAATTTAGTGCATGTATGCTTTACAAAATGTGTTTCATAAATGTGTATATATATATATATATATATATATATATATATATTCTGTAAGTATAATAGATAACCTTCTAG